GACTTTCTCTAGGTATTATAGACCTTCTTAGGATCCGCAAGCCTGCAGAAACAGGTTAATAAAACATCCTACAATTATTTTATGAGTATTTTACAGTCTCTTGAACAATCTAAAAGCATAGCTTTGGCTGATTTCCCAGTTAATGGGCACTACAGTGTCATTTCTTTCTAGGAAGCCATATGAATATTCTGCCTCAGTCAGACTTGAAGATCCTATAGTTCCTGTTCTCTTTCTGCATGTGCAGGCTCACTTCTCTTCATGACACATCGGCAGCAGTAAAAGCCAGCCAATTAAATAATATTAGATGTCTCTAGGACTCTGTAAATATATAAATAAAGATAAATAATGGCTTAATGCACTGTTTAATAAGTCAATTATTCCCCATTTTCTGCTGAGCAAGAACATTTGACAATTGTATCTAATGGAAAACTGTTACCAGGAAGAAAAAGAGGCTGTTATATTCGAGCTGTGTGGCCCTCATGAGGGCCCAATCTAGGAAATAAACATTAAACATCCAAATCAACCATTCCATCCACTCTCTATCCATGCAGAAAAGAGAAAATAGCTAAATCTCCTTGTCTGTCTTTCACATCCCTTTGCCCAGCAACCTCTTAAATGACCTGTGAGTCTTTAGAGGGCTGATTTACATACAGGATGCTCTGGAGAGTTGATCTAATGCCAAACGAGGGCAAAGGCAGGCCGGCGAGTTGGTCAGCACAGTTTAATTAGATTTTCAAAACTAATTACGGCTTCTAATTGTGGTTAAAAAAGTGTGTCTGGAGAGAGACAGGATGATTGAACCCAAATAGGGAGAAAAAAGAAAACAAATACAGGTGTTCTCCACTGAGAGGCACGAGAAGGCAAGTCGTTGAATGATTTGGAGACTTTACACTGTAACATTCATAATTAGGCCATCGTGCTTCAAACTTGATCTGCAGTGAATGCTGGGAAATGGCGAGTGTTCATTTCAGCAAATCAAAGCAGCTCAGGGCTTCCAGAGGATTACTTAAAGTGTCTCCTTTCCACGGAAACAAAATGAATGAAGAGAGTCTTATTTGTAATTCATATTCGGTGGTAGAGTTTAATGACTTTTCTTTTTTCCTTTCCTGTTATATTTTAAATTGTTACCATAAGTCTTCCCTCGACATGACTTAATGTGACAGATCATCAATAACCGCGCTGCGTGACCGAGGAAAAAGACCTTTGCATTACATTTTAATTCCTCCTGTGTTGTGTCATTTTCAGAAAGGAGAGAGAGGAGGGCGCTCAGGACTCCTTTCTCAATATTTAACTGACCCTCCAGGGACACGGCAGCTGAAACTTTGACTTATCCATTTAAACAGAGCCGGCTTCTGCTGGTGTCCTCTGGCAGCCCCTCCGAGGAAATGCTTTTTCATTCTGGAACACACCTTTCTTGGAGTTCAAATCAATAATTCTGAGATGTTCATTGATATGAAGTTCAAAATCATTTTTATCCTTCTATTGAGAATAAGCAGCAGGATGAATGATTTCCAAGATGAAATTCTCCTTCGGTGCTTCTAAAACCCCATTCGGGATTCGTTTTCTGGATATATGTCTCTAAAGCAACTGTCTGTAATGTTTAGTGTTAATTCATACAGGATAAGTAATGTCTGTAAAAATCTCAGAGATGGACTGTGCCCAGGGGCACTGCAAATATTATATCTTTTTTAGATATCTTAAATTCCACTTTTTGGGGAGATAATAATTATATTTTAAGAGCTTTGCTGCTGTGCCAAGAAAGAAAATTGCAGCTGGCTGCAATTTTGAAGACTTTTAGACCAAGCAGAAACCTCTATAAGCGGTCATTTACTATGGCTAGTGGTCACTTACCTGCTATTTAGCAAGGACAAACAGGACAAACATTAAAGTCACCTAATTAATATTCATAAGCCAAGCGTATAAGATTTATAATAAGTTAGAATTAGTCCATTTCACATCATTCCTAAACCCCTAGTTGTGCTTAGTGCTTTTACGCTTTGACATCACACATAACTGACCTATCACAAAATGTTTTTCACTGTGTGTACTAAGTATGCAGGAAATATTAAACATGAGCATATATTTCCGGTTAACTGGCAAAAAAATAATTCGCATTTCAGACAAAATGTAGCCAAACAGCAATTGTATTTTGTACTCACACATTTAAAAGTTGGGTATTTTTGCTATTTTTCTTGTTCTTATTCTTTTTGTTGTTAGGAAAAAAAATTCCCTCCATTACTTTGTTTCAATCCTAAAACTACATGCTTGTGTACTCTTTGCACTTTGCTAAACAGAAAGAACACAATCCTTTCTATCTCTTTCACATGGGTAACAAATGTCAAATGCATCAAGGAACAATATGAAATTCATTTAAAAGTTTTTTTCCTATTTTTCTTAAATAAATGTTTTCGGTTTAAGGTTGTAGCATCATTTTTACTAGAACATAAATGTGCTGAATGTTTTTTTATACAAAATCATCACGGCTACTTCGTCATTTTAATCATGCAGAATTGCCTTGTGATTCACACATTCACAGCTACAAACAGTCATGTGACTTGAAGAAATAACTCAAGAAACTCAAACGTGGCTCTAGACTTCTCGTAAAGCACTAATTGGATGAACAAAGCTTTCCAGGGCGGCACATACTGCTTGCAGAACAGGAACAAAGTGTTGGAACTTGCAAATGACTCTCTGAGGATTGCTCATTTGTTTGCTTCTTACTGGGATTACAGCCCATGAACAAGGCCGTATCCAGGCCACAACTGACAGGCGCACGTCTGCCTATTACGCTCCTGTGGTGTGGCCATGTTGAGTAATTGCTGGGTTTCTGGTCAACGCTTCAAGAAACATATGTTCCACTCCGCACTGTGAGACTCCTTGCAGGAGGCTAGTAGTCTCCCGCCATGTATAACGTGTCTTTTTGACAAAGGGTCTTGGAGGAATCCACAGTGACCTACAGTGGAAATAATAGGACATAATTTGAAATAATTGTTTTTTTTTTTCAAGCCAACATATTTCAAAGCTTCAAAAACTTCAGTACTTCCACGATAGCCCTTTCTCTGTTTATGTCTTGGAGTAAAATCCAATTAAGCCGGGTAATTCTTGGCAGACGCTGGACAAGGTTAAAAAGTTTTGTAATAATTTTGCAAAACTGCTGCTCTTTGTTGTCCTCGCTTTCATTTCTGGCCTTGGCTAATGAACCCAGACCCGGACCCTCCCTAAAACGGATAAATTTCTGCACTTTCCTCTCCTTGTCTAAAGACAAAAGGCATGACCAATCATTATCCCTGTAAAAGTGTCTCCGTGGGACAATAACGGCGCCGGGTTCTATGGCAGTGCGCTTTCATGCTGATTATGAAAAGTGAGCTGTAAATATTTTAAATTCTCAGCATCCCCGGTACTTTAATCAACCTTTCAGCTTCATAAGGTTACAGCTAATTTGCAAGCCATAAAAACACATTTGGCAGATTTAACAGGGACGGGAGACGCACTGATGGCATTGTCTGGGCCCCGTGTTTCTTTGAGGAAGAGTTATTATTCCCATTAAGCCTGGCAGAACGACGAGGCCAGAAATTCGCCACTGGTACGCTCCCATTGATCGTGGGCAGGAGAATGAGCTGCTAATGCATTTAGAGAAATAAGATCTGTTAACACCGCAGACGTTCAGCATTACAAGCTTGGAGAGAAATCCTTTTCGACGGAGGGAATATGTGCGGTATTTCTTCACAAGTTGCTGATTCCATTCTGGTTTTAAAGGATAATTTCAGCATAACCTGGCATAAAACTGGGATATCTTGAGGAACAGGAACATACTGATGCCGGATAAACTTTAATCTTGTATCAAAGACAACAAAATCCCATGTTTAGTCCAAGTTATCCTCAAATTTAATAAAGTAAGCCACTTTGAAGAATGGAACCGTGAGAAACCATGATACAACACAGCCTTTCTGTTTTCGTGTACAAACTTCCCTTAAAGTTGCACCAACAGGGCTGCACCCCTCACAGGTCACACGAAAATAGGTAGACATTCAAACGACCTTATGGAGAGTCCATGGGGAGTGTGAAATTTTTTTGATACACCTTATAAATCACACTGTCTATATTTAGCTGAAACATTCATAAACAAGAAACAAAACAGACCCTGATACCCCTGAGACTGGACGTTCACTGCAAGGGTCTAAAGAACGCTTATGTCACATGGTAGATGTATGCCTACAGGCTTGGTGTCAAGGCACCTAACTGATGGGGACTGTTGTTCAGACCTTCTAAAGATGCACAAACTCCAGGAAAGAATATAGTTAAGGTGAACCAAGTTGAATCTAATACAGATTGTCATGTACTGACCCCCAAAAGTTGTCCCAAACCCATATGCTGTCTGACGTTATGATATATGGCATGCAAGTGAAAACTGCCTGGGATGCACAATTGTTTTGAGTCATAGCTTCAGCGGAAGGGAAATTATGCAAAAAGTGATTTTTTTGAGGTTGTAAAACAAAGATCATTAGAGTACGTTTTACAAGGAAATACTGTTTTAGTGTTTCTACTTCAAAATGTCACAGTACATGCCATTTCTTTGTAATTATTTGTGAAACTTAGTATCAATTTTTGAGTGAAAATTGTTTTTGTGTTCTAATGGAAAGAAAATAATAGCATGCTGGTTTGAAATGACAAAAGTCTGAGTAAACAATTAAAATTTCCATTTTTTGTTGATTCATACCTTTAATAAGATGGGTTTAATGACACACAAAGGGCTCAAACTGTCACATCTGAGATGCTAGAAATCATAGTTAGAACAAATGGATGATGGAAGGAAGAGATAGGAACTTAACGAGGACACACAAAGGTGCAAAGTGACTGTTGAGTACAAAAACACTCTAGATGTCCTTGGAGCTGCAGACTTCAGTCAGAGTAAACTGGCTTGGGGAAAAGAAAGAGAGGTATAGGGATGTGTGAGGGAGACCAGGAGGAAAAAGAGGAAGGGAAGTGGGGTTGTACAGTACCTCTGTTACCGGTGACAGCAGAATTGAGATGCTTGGAGTCTAAGGGACCTGTAGTGTCTGGGAGGGTGGGTGCAGGGGAAGTTGTGGATGGTGACGATGTGGTGGGGGCATCTGTTGTACGTGACAAACAACAATGACAACAAACATGTAAACAAAAAAAGGACGGATAAAAGACAAAACAATAATGACAAGGGGAAGAAAACATTCCTATAACGATGGAACAAATGCAACACAATAGTTGTCATGCTGACAGAATGCAAATAAAAACTGAATGGGTTTAATTTAACAATGCACACATGAATAAATTATTAAAATAAACGACATGTACAGTACAGCTGACATTCCAGAAATGTATGCTTTTCTTTATGATGTTTATGGATAATGGGTTTGGTGTGTGTATAATATATCAAACCATTCACGACGGTAGCAAAGTGACAGTTTTGTTCACAAAATGGTAGGAAAAAGCAAGCCGCATTCAGGGAGAAAAGCATCAATATTTGATGAACTATCAAAAGCGGTCTGCACAGACGACATGCTGGAGAACATGTGGAGAACAATCACCATAACAAGCCTTTTGTTCCTGATCGTATATTTTTATATCAGGGCAGTTCAGAGCTCAATGTCAGTGCATCTTTAAAAATATAATTGAGCTAATCAGTTGGTGTTTTCTTTGACAGGAGGTCAAAAGACTTATGCCCAGTTAACATGCCATTATCATGCTTTTTTATAGTATTTAGTTTTACACTTGTAACAGTTAACCCTTACTAGATGGGTAAAATTAATTAGGGTACGGTGACAGACCAGATCAAAACTGTTCAAAATATTAATAAATACTGCACAGACAGCTCAAATGCCAACTGTTACACAATAAAGGAAATTGAAAAAAAAGATTTAAAAAAATATTATATATTTTTTTATTAAATATTTATTAAGAGCATGACAGAAAATCATAGTGGATAATGATTATTTATTGTTCGAACTCTATGTTAAATATTACATAAATGTATGCTTATAATGAAAAAGCATTAACATATTTGTCGAATGGAGTCAGGATCCATCCCTGAATGTTGTTTCATTGTGTAGAGGGGGCCAAGCTAAAATGTTCTTACGCAAAAGCAAAGTTCATACCAATCTATTTTAATTTCATACAATTTCAAGGTGCAGTTTAAATTGAGTGATTTATGCTTTTAAAAACAGCAGGTATCATTCAAGCCTCTTGAACGTGATTCTGGTTCCACAATCAGCGTAATGCTGGCAGCCGCTTTGCATGCATAAAGCATGTTTAGCGCAATGATAAGGACACGAGAGGAGAGTTGGGCTCAAGTTGATAAGCTAAATCACCAGTCTGCCTTCGTACTAATGGACTCAAGCAGACAAGCAGAGTAATCCAACTGATAGCTCAAAATTGCACAGCAGCTACCAGCTCTGGCTAACTAGAAATTTGCGGCAGCAGTTTGCGGCTAAATTTTTTAATCCTCTGAGGAATGAAAATGTGAGTGGTTCCTGACCATGCTAAACTTGGGCATTGCTAGGCGGTTACTAAGGTATTTTGAGTATTTTTTAGTGTGTTGGGGGTTTCCTTATTGGCTTTGTTTCAAGCGGTTTTACTGTCCAATCATGATGAAAAGTAATAGCAAAGCATATAATTTCATGTATCATTCACATTTTTAGCACAAACAATGCAGGATGAATTACACATACTGTATTGGCATAGTTTAATACTTTTAGTATTAAAAAGGGTTTGTTGATATTCCTAGGGTTATGAATTTCAACAAATGCTCTGAGTAACAGCAATAGTCATAGTGTTTGCCTTATCAAACACCACTACTGATGGCTGGAGCCTTGGGAGTTTTTTTGGAAAAGGATCAAATGGGATATATTTTGGGTTTCCAAAGTACATTATTCATAATGCATTTAGTATTGAATTAATAAAATATTTCTTTTTTGAAAGTTATTTAGCACATAACAGAAGATTCCTGCCCAGAGATATGAAGAAACACTTCAACCAAACAGAAAAATGTGCCAAGACCTTTATTGTCATTATTGTTCTAATAATAAAATCCTGTGTGAAAGCAGTTGATAATTTTCTCAAGAGCAAGTCATTTTGCACAAGATTTTACTATTAGAAAGATAATTACTTGAATAATTTCTTCGCAGGTGGCAGGGTTGTAAGCATTTCTCTGTATGGTGGAAGTGTTTGAGTAATGTTGTGGATGTTAACATTTTTTAAAATATATATACTAGATTACTATGCAGAGAATACAAATAAGCCAGAAATT